TCTTCGTTGTTAGCACAAGGGAAACACTTAGGCTTTCGACCTATAAATGATAACTTCATTCGACCAGAACAAATCATCCACGACTCCGTATAAACGTCTTGCAAATTCCGAAACACAACGAAATGCAGTTAGACAAATTGATTGCCATGAACGGTTCAGTTAAGTTCAGTTTTGATAACCGTTAACCATGCACTTTCGTATGCGGGTTTTGGCTGCTACCTTTTGGCAGCCCATTCGGATGAAGGCTACTTTTTCGGATACATGATCTATACTCAGACATACCAGTCGATCTCCATTCACATTGGGAAGCAGCAAGCATTCGTCGTATGCACCGTTGCGGTTCAAAATGAATTAGATTGATCATCTGTATATGGAAATCTCAGAATTTCAACATTTCGATATCAAAAGCATCAGAAAAGCCAAGACCTACGGGTTCCGCTTAGTTCTAACACTAGAAAAAACCGTATATCTAATCGTATCTCTGTTAGTGGTCGGCCTTAGACAAGTGAGAGGCTATGAAGAGGGATGCTTCAATTTCTATGGCGAATCACGTTCTAACGCCGCCATCCTTAAACATACATGGGTCCCTACCGGTTCATAGCATGCACTAAGATGGATGTTGAACAGCTGCAGTTTGAATGCACGAAGCGTGGTAAAGATTTGTTAGGTGACTAACTGGTATCTATTTATTCACCTCAAGTGGGCGTGGAACACCATTAGGTGCTATTATATGGGATGAGGTTTCATCCTCAAATGATGAATACAAGGACAATGGTTTGCAGATCGATCCAGGGGATAGAGGTACACAAACTGAATGAATACATCGGCACCTTGACATTCCGTTCCGACATAAGGAGCCATTTGCTTTGAAGCAGAAACATACGAAAACCACCTCTTTGGACGATAGCGTCCTCAAAAGAATTATGCAAATATCCAAACCGTATCAGAGCATTCGCTGCATACCGTGGCCTTCTATTTTCTCAGGTCTATAGTCCCATGAATACCACTACAATCATTTCACAAGAAGAATACAGAAAACCTCAGTACTACAATACCTGTCGAAACCGAGCTTGTAAACTGTGAGAAGCGAATTGCTCAAGATTACCTGTTGCCAACAATTCATGGTGCAAACTGGGTTCTGTCATTGCTAGCTGATGTGGTTCTACTAAATACCAACGAAGTTTCCTTTTAACAGACCTTTTCCCCGTTGATTATATGTTGATGGACGTGTTTTGAGATATTTTCTTTGGCTTTGCAATTGTGAGCTCAGTACAATGCTATTGAGTATTGAGTTCTTTGTTCCGGCGGAGCGTTGGTTGGGGGTCTTTTTCATATTTCTTTCTATTGTCCTTACTACGATTAACAGATTGGAATGCAGTTCCCATCCGTTTTGAACAAATCATGCTTCATTTTATCATTTCACAGGCACAATGATTACAATTTTTTTAAAATTCTCGGATGGCACCAATCTGGCTCCATTGAGACCACTCATTAGTTTATCTTTTTGTTATTTTCAACTAGCTTCCCATACGACAATCAACCATGGTCCGGAATCGTATCGTAGACATTGAGGTGAACTGGCTTCATGCTCCACTGGAGGACCAGTCGACAAATCTGTTGGATTTAGTGGCTACTGGCCAGATTTCTCCCCTGCTCTGTCACTTGATCGGTCTCCCCCTGATTCAGGTTACACTGGATCGCTTGTACAGTATTCAAGAATTAAAAACCGCTCTCAAACCAGATCCAAAGGATGGCTGCGTATTGGATAAATGCGCATTGGAGTGCATGAATAATAAAGACCTGTTGCCATTATTGGTCAGTTCAGAGGGTTGGCCTTCGGATGGTCAGAAAGGTGTGTGGGGAACCTACGACAATTGTACCCCAGCTTCACAACTCTTGACCATTCATTCCATTAAAGTAAGTCATTCTGTTGAATTGCAGGTTTGTTGCGTCTTTCCTTTTTTGAAAATATTCTCCTAAGGGTAGTTTATCGCAGTCGTGAAACCAACTTGATAGGTTACACGTTGCATTTAGATTTTCATTTGTTTTTCTTCCGTATATCCGTAAGTGATTTCATTTCTATGCACTCATTAATCTGAATTGGAAGATTATTGCTTTGAAGTTTTCATTTAAGTTGAAAATGGCTTTCGACTAGAATTTGTCACTTGGTCACTAATAAACCGTATACACGGGTGTTTTGAATAACCTCGGTGTGAGAGGCAGTTTCGTAGCCATCACTTAATGTTTTTTCCCATGCAAAATAAGCAAGGACTTAATTGTTTGGCAGTGATCAGTGAAGTTCGCCTCACTATATTACGCTGTATAGTGATGATCATGATGATGGACTTGATTGTCACCTGTTCCTATTTTAAGGCGCACTGTTTGGAGTTACACTGGGAAGTGATCATCGCCACGTACCAGGGTTATAATTCAATTTTAGAGCACAACCGATGACCGTCAGATTTTGTAACTGGGATTTTTCCGCTCTCCCCGTTTTCCGTTCTCACCCTTATTTCAATTCCTTTTTGTGCAGCGTACCTTGAAGTTGAAGTTCGAGGCTTCAATGGATGAAGATCTGTGTATCACGGACGGCACAAACGATGGATTAGACTACATTCCAATTTGCCTTCTCTGTCCCCTCACTCGAACGCGCATCGAGGTATGTGTTCTTTCGTCTTTAGACGAAAATTCACGCATGCAGTTTATGAATATCGTTAATAAAGGGTTTCTATGTGTAGACCCTTTTTGCTAAGCATTTTTATAAATCAGTGCATATTTCTTTCTGTCGTATTCGGCACATGTATCTGCGCAACCGATTTCGGAGTATGGGTTCATGGTGTTCAGTGCGGTGTGTAAACGTCACAGTGTCAACTAGCTGACTGCTCAATCGGTACTGTACAAGTTAGCCTGTTAGAAAAAGTTTATCAGGCATGGAAAAAATTCGGTTCCACAAAAAATAAGTGAAACTAACACAAAGTTGTCTTCATTCCCAGGGGAATAACTTTGTTTCCGGTTTACATGATGGTGGCTGTCTCCTGTAAAAAAAGGGTAACCGAAGATCTGCGGAAACTGTCTTCCAGCGATCAGAGATCAAGGTGTTGTGGATCTTCGCGTATGGTGTTCCACCAAGTTTCTAGTGGCTCACGACAGTGATAGTGGGGATAGATGGGACAGGAAGACGGTGATAGGCAGCTTTTATCAGATCACAGACTTTGCACAGTTAATGCTCAGACCATTGTGAACACCTTTGTTATACTTCTTTTTTCATTTTACTTCCTTTTATTGAATATACAAAGATACAATTTTCAGGAAGGGAGAAGCGGCCAATCAAAGGGCTGCCATCCAACACACACTGGAGGGAATGTCAGGCGGTAGTGGTGGGATTCGAATACATCCCGGATGTGATAATTTGATGACGTTACCACCGGGCCACCACGGATGGTGTGATAGTATCACAACGGTTTCTGGCTGCTTCTTTCGGAAGTTGATCTATACACATGTGCTTCCAGTTCTTAATAATTATTACTCCGCGATTTCCATTCTCAGCTTCCCGTTCGCTCGATTCGATGTGAGCATTTGCAATGTTTCGATTTCACTGCCTATTTGACCATCAATCGTCGCCGTCCGCGTTGGACATGCCCGATCTGCAGTGTTCCCGCTCCGTTTCGTGACCTCCGATTAGATGAGTGAGTGTTTATTACCGATTTTGCTCTCCTTGCTTGTGCTTAATATCTCATCTGTATTTTTATTTAGCTTTTTACACTTCTGAAACAACATGAACTGTAAACATAGTGAAGAAATACGTTAGATAACATACCCAAAGTACCGCCAAATCATTGTGCCGGACGGCGCGATTTCTTATGGGACATTATCGTTCACGACAATCGATGTGTTCGGAGCCCGTGCAACACGGGATACAGGACCATATTGTAACTAAGGCGAGCTGAGTCGTGATAAATGCCGTGGATAGTAGTGTTATAAATTAACAAGACCGATGCCGGACTGCGGATAAGCGTTTATTTGGAAGAACTACTGGAATAGGGGGTAGATCTGATTGCACAGAACTAAGCTTTTCATCTAAAACAGGGTAACCGTGCTTTCATCAAACACTGGGGATCAATAGTCGAATAGTCCAGTGTGTTTCTTCTGTAGTTACAATAGTGAATGCAATAATTCACCCCAAGATGTCTTGTTCATTTTTGAATATCATAGAAATCCGCGAATCGCTTCCTGTTGCGCGTACCGAACATGATACTCACCAATGTAAGTAGTACCTCACTACAGAAGTAGTGATCAGTTTGTCCGACTTTCGTGCACGAGCTCTTCAAGGTTCCACATCAGCCTTTCAAATTTGATAGGAGCATTGGTGTTACTCAGCTCCATATAATGCTTACAACACCAGACTAGTGTAGACCTTCTACAGGGAATTTAAGCTTTTGATTTCTTTGATTTCTGCAAACCTTAGGAACCGTCCGTTCACAGTTTCGGTCATTGCCTGTGTGGCTGCTGCTCGATTGGCTTGGTGGCCAGTCTGCAGTAGGTGGAGAGCGAGTAACGATGTAGGTATTCTATGCCGATGTCTTCATCCGTTCACGTCACTCAGTCACTCGAGTACGCAGCTGCCTCTCTGTTCTACCCGCCTAGGTGGCTCCGTAGTTGTATTTAAATCCATAGGTTACGTATGATTTGGCGGATAGGGAAGCAGTCACTTCATAAGCGTTGACGATGTTACCTCGGCTGGTGACTAAGCGTTTGCAAACCAACTACCGAGCTCTCTGAACAGGCGAAATGGAATCTTTGATTTGTTCTATGTCGCCTGTTCGCCGAGCTTGGCAATTGGTGTTGCAAACGTTTCATCACCAGCCGAGGTGACATCATCAGTGCTTGTGAAGTGGCAGTGTTCTGCCTGTAACCGTTGGTTCATATATGCGTTCTTCTCCACCGACTATTTTCGTCCCCTGTTCTCACTGTGTTTGACTCGGTCCGCCGTTGAACTGCTGCGAGCGGGTAGGGGTGGGAGGGGAGGAAGTTGTTCTTTCGTCCCGATTGCGGTTTCCGTCCGTACACAGGTCACGGCGTGACCTTTGTTGCATCATTTGGTCCTTTAGTTGCATTGGCGTGTACACGTGATCCAGTTCGATGTGCCTGTTTATTGAGTTGATTGAAAAGTGCCAGGCCTCGAGAAATTCTCTGGCGTGTTTTGACCGGGCTTGGTCGATAATTCTCATTGATTCGAGGTCCTTGATCTTCGTGGAGGGAAATCAACGATAGTGGGTCATGCCTCCTGACTGCCGATTGGTGTTCACGGATTCTTGTTGACAGTTTTCTCCCAGTTTGTGTTTTGAACAGTTCTTGCAGTTTATTTTCTAGATGAAGCTGCTCTTGTCCTTGGGTTTTGACAGAAGTTCCCTTAGACAGGCAATCGGTTTGTGGGTTACTTCGATTCCATACAATCTGAGCAGTCTTACTGTAATTTCCGAAACGTCCTTGATTTACTGCAGGGTCGTTCTTGTTCCCGATTCTCCGTCTGTTGTTTCCTTTCTTTGAGCCAGAGTTCTTTCGATGAAGTTGTGGGGCTAGCCATTGCAAGCGAACACTTTGAGGAGGTATCTTTCTTCTTCTTGAGTATTTCGGTGCTGCAGTGCGTTTGGATTCTTCCGAACAGGGTTTTAACACAGCATCTTTTGTGGCTGTAGGGATGATTACTTTTGAAGTTCAGGATTTGATCTGTATGTGTTGCCTTGCGG